CCCGCACCAGGTCCCCAGCGCCCTCCGCTCCTCGCCGTCACCCTCCTGCACACGTAGTACATGATACACACATCGATACAGACAGACGGACAGACAGACAGACAGACAGACGTTCACAGTCTGTATGTGTTATGTGTAATGTGCTGTCCGCCCACCTTTGGGGTAAAGGCGTCATCACCTTCCTGTACTCAGACAAACAAACACCCACACACAGGCACATACATGGCTGGTCTGCGAGCGCTAAGTATGTGTGTGTGTGTGTCTGTGTGCTCCCGCACCCACCTCAAGATCGTCGTCATCTTCGTCGCCACCACCTTCGGAGTCCTCAGGAGGGATCTCAGGCTCCTCGGGGACAGTCACCTCCTGCAAACACATGACACACACACACAAAGCAGCGACAGATAGACAAGCGTGCACATGCATAGTGCAGAGAGACCACAGGTGGGTGGCCGTGAATTTCTTACGGTCGACGGATCAGTGACGGCCGTGGACTCCTGCAGCTTGCGCAGGGAGGGTGGGTGCTTCATGTCAGCAGCAACACCGGCCACCAGGAGGGCACCAACAAGGCACAGAAACAGCTTCATCGTGGGAGAACAATCCAGGGTTCGGAATGGACTGAACGCACAGATGTAGCACTGGAATGCCGACAGATGGTTGACGAATCAAGCAGGCTGCAAGCGGTCGGAGTCTGATGCAAAACAGAATGAATGCGAAGAGGCACAAGACAGTTCTCCCTATCCAGCCGGTCTCGGAACATTCCACTTCGCATTCCGGGAACGAACGAACACTCCGCGACTCACACCGCGCCGTTCTCTTGGGGCGGGCTAGGGTCGAGGGCGTGCAACAACATATTATCGCGTTTCTGAGCTCACGTTCCCTCTTCTCGCCTGTCCCGTTCCAAATGGGCAATGGGAAAGGGGACAGAGAGGGAGGGATTCCAGCTCCAGAATCGTCATTCCGCTCCAGATCTTCATTCCGCCGTCCGTCGTCAGGTGACTGTTGTCCTTTGTCGTTTCTCACTTGTTCGCGATGAAGCTACTTCTGTGCCTTGCTGGCGCCCTCCTGATGGCCGGTGCTCTGTGCGCCCCAACACCCCTGCGCAAGCTGGCACCTCAAGAGTCCACGGCCGTCACTGATCCGTCGACCGTAAGCAATGCATGACCACCCACCTGTGCTGCCCTCTATGCCACTGTGCATGTTCATTTTTCTGTCTGTCTGTCTGTCTGTCTTTCTGTCCTCTCATGGTGTATGCAGAATGTAACCGTTCCCGAGGAGCCTGATCCAGAGATCACCCCTGGCGACGAGGTGGGCAAGAGAACACTCACCCATACAGGCAGCGACCCACCCACCCACCCAGGCATAGACCCCTGCACGCCTGTCTGTCTGTCTGTCTGTCTGTCTGCATGTGTGTGTGCAGGAGGGTGGCGATGATATTGAACTGAGGGCTACGCACTGGCGCCACTATTGCTCTGAGTGCACCTGTGGGCATGGGTACCCTGGATGGGCTGAGAACCATGGCAATCACGACCACACCCACGGTTGCCCGTGTAAGTGCCATGGCATGATGCACTACGGTTGTGAGTGTACGTGTGACCATCACCATCACCACCATGGCCACGAGCACTACCATGACTGCGAGTGTATGTGTTAGCACCAGTGTGTTTTGGACGTGAGTCAGTGGGTGGTGGCTGGGCTGTGGGTGGGGGAGAGAGAGATGAGCCACACGACGTCTGAGATGGCTTGCGTCCCTACTGATCTGATCTGCGGTGGTGTTTCATCAATATAAGTAGCTCGTCTCTGTTTGCCTGTGGCTCGTCTTGTTGTCGTCTGTGTGTCCGTGACACTCACACATACATATACAGTGCCATGAGCACGCGAGTCAAACAGGCTCAAGGGGAGGAGGGATCTCGAGATCCCCGCCCCATCAGCGTGTGTCTGGCTCTTGCTGGCTGGGCAGAGAGTATGTCTGTATGTCTGTTTTATGTCACGCATTCCTCGCTTGAGTAGCTGCCCCGCTCCCCCTCCCGCTCCATCCAGCTGCGGCCTGGTGGCTGGTTGGCTTTTTTCTTCAATGCACATAATTTATTGAATGTGTCGTGAGCGTCTTTGTGTGTTCGTCTTCCTGACGAGCTCTGAGCTGATGTGAAGTGTGTGGCTGGCTGACTGGCTGTGTGCATACTTGCATGTATTTCATGTGGGAGGGGGTGGGGCAGCCACAGACAGGGGAGGGGAGTGAGGGGGAGATGAGTCGTCACAATCCATCTTGGGGGTTACACACATGGGATGGGATGGACACATGGGATGGGATGGACAGAGACACCGACGAGACACGCAAATATATCAAGTGAATGATCCAATGACGCCCGGGTGAACCACTCATAAGCGAGATCTGCAGAACGACTGTTGACCCCCTCCCTCATATTTTTCACTACTTCTGCAGATTCAACAGTCAATTGAGGGACTGTTGACACTTGATGGAGCTGCTTCAGTGCCTTCATTTAGACAGCGTTCGGTAAACCACGGCAGGTGGACACACATGCAGACACATCTCATGTGTGGGTGTTTGAATGTCTGTGTGCAGTTTGACGATGGTGGCTAGGGCGACACCATCGAAGAGAACGAGATCGACGTTTTGGGTTTATGTCTCGACATTAAGAACCCAAGAGCCCAAAAGGCTTTAATGGCGAGGGGCGTCGGCTCTCAAGGCTGTTGGGAGGGAGGCTGTCGGCTGCACAGGTTGCTAGGTTGTTGAAGGTAAACCATCTGGAGGGGCACGGCATCCGAAGGCGGTCGTCACGACTGATTGAATGCAGTCCAGAGAGTGGTCTCTGCTCTCATCTCTCTCTCTCTCTCTCTCTCTGTGTGTGTGTGTGTCTTTTGATTCGTTCGTCCGTTCTGACAGGTGTCGAGTGGTGGGCCGCAGCAGCTGGCACATAGACGAGCCACATCACATGAAGGCTGATGACACAAGACCCCTTTTCTGACCCTTGTATGTGTGTGTGGGTGTGTGTGCATGTGTGTACGTGTGTGTGTGTGTCTGCTGTCCGCTGTGTCTGTCGTTTTGCCTCTGCCTGCCTGCCTGCCTGCATTTGAGTCAAGGCGTACATGTGTCCTCTTGACGTTGCTGCCTGACCTCCTTCCTGTTCTTGGCCAACTGTCCGTGTTCGTGTCTGTTAATATAGCAAGAGACTGTCCGCCGATGTGTGTATGTGCACGTATGCGCGCTCGTCCCCAAATGACGGAAAGGGCGGGTGGGTACGATTGGATGACACGGATGAGACGGATGAGACCCACCCCACGAGGGACGCATGTATTACATGCAGACATAAAGGGAGTCAACAATGCAGCATGCAGTCAACCAAAATGTGCCCTTCCACACATAGTCTCCCCTTTCCGTCGTTGCCCCCATCACAGTTTGATCGATTTGATGACGTATGTACTGCATACAACTGACACCAACTGGCTGCGGCCTGCCTGAGACGCTCTCTCTCCCTCTCTGGCCACTGCTCCACACACCACTTCCCAAGGACAGCTCGTGCAGAGCACATCAGATTAGTCAGGCGAAATGATTAGCACAGCACTCAGAAAAAGGAAAACGAGAACACAGATTCTGAGACCTTCTACGAATTGATTGACCGAAGAGGAAAGAGCAGTCAGCCAGATGGCAGGTGGCGGATAGCAAGGGAAAACGAGCAGGAGAAGAGGAACAGAACAGTGTGTGCTCACTTGGGTCCTTCATCTGTACCACAAGCGCAGACAGCGATACCAACACTCACACCGATGTGTGTGTCCAGCAAGTGCGTTGACGCACCAGTGGATGATTTCAATAGTCGCCAGCGTCAATAGTCGCCATAGCGCCGATCGGATTCCCACGGGTAGGGGAGGTGGTTGTCGTGGTTCTGGTTCCTTCGGTGCCTGCGGCGCCACCACCAGGCTGCTCTTCGGTGGCGCCCCCACCACTGCAGAGCTCTCAGCTCAGCCCTGCCATCACCTTCCTGGTCGTCCTCGCCTTGTGCGGCAGTGAGGTCTTCATCGGGTTTCTCGGTCTCATCTTCCAGCAAGAGACACTCATGGAGATTTTCACACAGACAGTCGCTGTTCATGTATGATATTTTGCTGGCCAACCTCGATGTCGGCAGGGGGGTAGCCGCACCAGCCCGCCTCCCCGCCGCACCGACCACCCTCCTGCACTCAGCCAAACCAATAACGGCACACGGGCATATGGCTGCTCTGCGTGTGCTGCATGTGTGTGTTTGTGTGCGGAAGCTCCGTTGCCCACCCCATCTGTTATATCGTCGCGAGAGTCGTCGTCATCGTCAACTGCGTAGTTGCCAGGAGTGATCTCAGACTCCTCGGGGACAGTCACCTCCTGCACACACACATCACACACACAGGGGAGCGACCGATAGACACGCGCATGAACATCCATCGAGGCATACAGAGCAGCACAGGTTGGCCACGCGTTCCTTACCGTCGACGGATCAGTGACGGCCGTGGACTCCTGCAGCTTGCGCAGGCAGGGTGGGTGCTTCATGTCAGCAGCAACACCGGCCACCAGGAGGGCGCCGACAAGGCACAGAAACAGCTTCATCGCGGGAGAACAAGTGAGAAAATGAAAAGGAAAAACAATCACTGGCAGAAGGAAGGCGGATGAAGAATGTCGAAGGTGCGGATCTGCCCTCCGACACTCTTCCCATTTCGATCAGAGGTGTTAGGACGAATTCGGTTTTACGCATGCGGTGTCCTGGGACTGGGAACGCGAAGACAGGTGGGACAGATCTCTTCCTCCTCGACAGATCCCAACTTGAGATTTCACATTGCGCCTTCCTTCCTTTTCAGTTTGTTTTTCCCTTGTCGTATTCTCGCTCGTTCTCCCGATGAAGCTGCTTCTGTGCCTGGTTGGTGCCCTCCTGGTGGCCGGTGCTCTGTGCGCTGATGACGTGAAGCACCCATCCTCCCTGCGCAAGCTGAGTCCTCAGGGCGTCGCTGATCCGTCGACGGTAAGGACATGCAACATGGCCACAACTTGCTCGTGCTGCCTCTCCGTCACCGTGGGTTTGCATGCGTCTGTTTATCCGTCGATCCCTGTGTGTGTGTGTGTGTGTGTGTGTGTGTGTATGCAGCAGGGTGATGAAGCTCCTGTGAGGGCGCTGCATGGACCTCACCGCGACCACGATGATGACCATCGCCACGACCATGACTACGCCGACCGTGTGGCCCTCGGTTTCGTCATGACCACCATCGCCGGTAGGTACGCACGTGTGCTGCCTGACACGACGCGCACGTTGTCGTGATGTCTTGCCGGTCACTCATTCGGTGTTGATGTGATGTTTCGCGGGTGCAGGCTTGTCCACTGCTGTGGGCAGCGCCTTGTCCTTCTGCCTTCCCAGGAACAATGGCAAGGCACGTGTGCTGCAGACACACGTGCCTGGATGGATCCGCACACACTGACTGCCACATCACATCATGTTATATCGGTGTCTGTCCGCAGGTGTTTGCGGTGTTGTGCATGTCTCTGTCTGCGGGCGTCATGCTCTACGTGTCCTTCGGGGAGATCCTCAGCAAAAGCATCGTACGATCGATCGATCGACATGCGCGCACACGCACTCCCAAGAGCGCGTACGTGTTTGTACATATATGCACATTTTGTATGTGTTGTGTGCAATGAATAGGACGAGTTTCGTGAGGCGATTAGCGACGGGGGGGAGGCGTACGCCTACGCTACGCTGTGCTTTTTCGGCGGTATGCTCACACGCATACATACCCACATGTGGCCACACAAACATACACCTGCACACAAAACAAACAATATACCTATGTGTGCATCATTCGACAGGTATCCTTGCGGCGATGCTGCTCGACTACGCCCTGGATTCCATGTTCAAAGTACTTGAAGCCAACACTCACTCCATGGACACACAATGACATGCACAAACATGCGAATGATGCCGTGACTCGCGTGTGCAGTGGATCCAGACCGAGCCCGAGGCGCCCAGCAACAGCAGCCCAGTGCCCGACGAAGTCCCCAAGGTATGAAGTGCATGCCACACACACACACACACAGAGAGAGAGAGAGGGAGAGACACGATATTACGTGCCACACATGACGATTGACTGACGTGCACGTACACATGTATGTGGCTGCAGAGTGGGGCAGACCGGGAGCAGCAGCAAGAGGAACGTAACAACACTGAGCAAGGTGCGCACACCACACAAACGGAAACGCATGGATGGATGGATGGATGGAATGGCAGGCGGTTGCGATGGAGGCGCTCTCGCTCGAGAAAAGGTACTGTGTGGAGAGCAAGTAGCTGTGGTGAGTGCACACACCACAGACGACACGCACACACGCACATGCAAATATATACACATGATATATATATGCATGTGTACCTACCTACCTACCTACCTCTGTACGTCATGTCCGCGCACACATGTCATGTGTCAATCAATAAAGGTGATTGAGCAGTCTCTCTGCGGCGATGATAAGATGGCCAGGACGCCGTCAACCGACTGTGAAGGTACGTCATTCACGCCACGCCTCCGTTCACACGTATGTATGAGTGTGAACAGCACATCTCTCTCACACTACATATGGGTATGTGTGTGTGTGTGTGTGTGTGTGTTCCTGTGCAGGTGCTGGGAGTCCGGACCAGCGCAGCACATCAGAAGACAACCCGAAGAAGGTCCATCTATCCGTCCGTCCGTCCGTAAATGCATACATGTGTGCGCGTCGTGTGTATTAAGGGTTCGTTGGAGAAGCAGTGGGCTGACAGAGCGGCCCTCAAAAGCCTCGGGATATTCAGGTACGTACGTACGTACGTACGTACGTACGTGGAACAAAGCGCCGACACATACACATATACACACATGTATGTCTTCTATGACTGCAATAAATATCGGTTCGGTTTATCACCGATCGACCAGCGGTCTTGCACTAGCTATGCACAACTTCCCCGAAGGTTTGGCCACGTTCGCTGCGACACTGGCGGATCCAACCTTCGGACTCGGTACGTGCCACACACCCGCATCGCACACACGCCATGGATACACATTCATTGGTGTGTGCACACAGGGGTGGCCGTTGCCATCGCCATCCACAATATTCCCGAGGGAATCGCCGTCAGGTATCCACACGCACAGATGGGTGCACGCACGGGCACAATGCCGCCGCTGTGCTTGTGCACATTCGATCAGTGTGCCGATCTTCTACGCAACGGGCAGCAAGTGGAAGGCATTCGGTACGTCCATACACATGCATACACGCACACATACACATGCATGTGTGTGCCTTTGTGTGGGTGTGTGTACAGGCTGGTCGCTGCTCAGTGGCCTAGCCGAGCCAGTCGGGGCTCTACTAGGTCAGTGAGTCAAGTGATTGCATCCATGCATTTGTCTGTCCACGCGCTCTCAAATGCATGTCTGCATGAATGCCACTCAGGCTACCTGGTGCTGATTCACGTGATGTCGCCCACTGCATTCGCCATTCTGTTCGGTACGTCTGTCTGCACGTGTGTGTGCACCCACCCGTGAGCACGCATTGTTGTCTTGTTGTGTCTCGATGGGGCTTGGCTTGCAGGTTTGGTGGGAGGTATCATGATTCATATATGCATCAAGAAGCTGATACCCACCGCACTCAAATACGACCCACAAGTACGCCATCCACACACAGGTCCATCCTTCCTTCCGTCCAAACACATGTACACGGTTGTGTATGTGTGTGTTTAGGATCGTGTGACGTCAAACACGTGTCTGGTGGGGATGGCCGTCATGGCCCTCTCGCTGGTGCTTTTCCAAGTCGTCTGACTGAATGCCATGGAATGACCAATACAATACGTTCATGGAATTTGTTTGTATATATGTGAATATGTGTGTATATGTGTGTACGTGTGTATGTGCCTGGCAGTGATTTCACTAACTCACATGCATGTGGGCGGGTGTGGGGGTGTGTGAGTGCGTGAGCGTCTGAATTCACGGACGTCTTGATCGTTTCCTCCCGCATCTTGTCTATCTACTTGTTTCTGCACGTAGGTCAGACGTCTTTGCATGATTTTAGGCCATGGTCTATCGGCATATCCACATGATAATCCCTGACTCTAGAAGTAGTTCTTTGTTTTGTGTGCATCTTTTTCGTATGTGGGGGGTCCTGGGTGCCTTGGCAGCCGTCGGTGCCTGTCAGTCATTCGTGTGACGACAAATCTGATCTGCGTGTGACGACTGACTGCACATACTCCGATGAGTGTGCCTATTCGTGATTGCATGTGTTCGATTCCATGTTTGTCAAGGGGGACAGTCAGAGAGAGGGAAGGGAGCGGCCACATACAGTTTTTTATGCGTGTGCATGCACACGAGAGGGACAGACAGAGACACCCGACACACACATGCAAACAAATAAACAAAAGAGCGTTTCGAGTCTACGTCGTTGTATCAATCAGAGACATCCATCCACGTATATACGGGCCAAGGAATCACCAGCAATAAATACCACACATGAAACAACCTCATGATATATATGGAAAGAGGTGGGCATCATCCACACAACCACCTCACAGCCACACACCTGTGTGAACGTCTATCTGTGTGGTGCAGGTGAGTGAGAAGATCCGGGCGCGGGGCACGGCCGGGGCTGGGACGGCACCAGAGGGGGAGGAGGCCGAGACGGTCATGAAGTTCGTCCACAAGGTGGACCAGCCTCTCAGGTGCGTGTGGCTGCCACAGCGCGTGAGTGGTATATCATGGCCGTGCATGTGATGTCGTCGGTGCGCATGGGGGTGTGTGAGTGCAGGTCGTTCACGCGTCTGTTGTTTGTTCGTGAGTCCACCCATCCGGCTGGTCTTTTTTGTGTACGTCGCTTTCCTCCACCTCTACTGCCTGTTTCTGCTGCACCTCTTCTCACCCAAGAGCCAGCTCGACACGTGAACCTTCGAAGGAGTGCCAGACAGACAGGCAGAGACCCAGTGGCCAGCGTCCATGGACTGATGGACAGACAGACAGACAAGTGACGAACAGAGAGAGAGAAAGACAGACAGACAGACAGACAGACCGGTCAACCAACGGACGATCGATCGGGAATTCGTTACATGAGTCGCATACGTTCTGTATTACGTCAATGTCTCTTACATTAATTCGAGCGCTGATCAGTGATTGATTGATCGATTGATTGATTGGCTTTCTTTCTTCTCTTGTCGCGTCGCATTGAGACGAGTGAGTGAGTGAGTAAGTAGAAATGGCAACTGGGCGGTCCGCCCGGCCCAGGCCACCCAGCAAAACTCCGCCACCATCAGCGGCACGCAATCGCTATGCAGTCGGCACACAATCACTCACCACACAATCACCCGGCAACGCACACACATTGGTCACTCACGCCTGTACATGTGTTGTCTGATGTTTTTCTTTCGTTCAGTGATCCGCAATGTGCTCCGCACTGTGTTCGGGAGCATCGCCTACATCCGCGAATTGTTCCCCGAGGACTGCTTCGAGGAGAAGACCATCAGTGAGTCACCGAGAGAGGCGACACATGTGTGTCTCTCTCCGTTTGTGTTGTGGCTGCGCGTTGTCTGTGCGTGTAGGTGAGCTGCCGTTGAAGATTTTGCGGCCCAAGGACGAGCACAGCGAGGCGGCGAAGCTGCACGCATGGCTCGACAAGAAGTGCCTCCGGTCAGCCAGGGATGCACTCTTGTGTGTGTGTCTTGTGCTGTGCTGTGTCGTGTGGACGGATGTATGGATGGATGGATGGATGTGTTGGTGCAGTATGTTGATCTTCGGCATCCATGACTCGTTGACGGACGCGCTGCTCGAGTCTCACCACTTCAAGGCACACAGACACACACAGAGAGAGACACTCACCACGCCACGCCCATCTCTCTCTCCATGTCTCTCTCTCTGTGTGTGTGAGTGTGTGTGTGCAGTTTGCCTACGACAACAGTGTGAGTGTGGACGTGGATCGCGACAACGGCGACCCACAGGCACAGCCGAGTGCGAGCGCCAGTGCCAGTGGAGTGTCCAAGGAGGAGGCCAAGAAACAGGCCACATCGATGCTGCTGAACCTCATCTTCCTCACAAGTAAGTCAGTCAACTCAGCCATTCGACACCCACACCACACACACTGACCTCCATCCCCCCTGTCTGTCTGTCTGTCTGTCTTTCTGTGTGTCTTTAGAGGAGCTCAGCCCGCTGCCAGGCAGGCCAAGCCCATCAACACATACACAAGATGAGATAGATGCTCATCCTTACTGTCTTTCCCTCTGTGTGTGTGTGTGTGTGTGTGTGAGTGTGCAGATGACCGCTACCTGACCATGAAGATGATGTGAGCAGCTGTCGTCCGCCATCGGATCGGATAATTGAATCGAATTGCACACAGTGAGTCGTCCGCCACTATGTGAGCAGCGGCTTGAGGGAGTGCTTCTCAAGCCGTCCATCTGTGTGTGTGTGTGTGTGCAGGTGACGTGTGTGAGTTTGGCTGCGATGATCGAGCAGGACGAGGAAATCGCACAGTGCATAATCGAGCAGTGAGTCACTGCCACACACACACACACACACACACAGATTGCCGTGTCATTCTCTGTCGTCAGGCTGCAGGAGAGCGGCTTGCTGAGTACAAGTGACCACATGGGCAAAGGCTTCATGGTGCCGCGACACACACACAACAACTCGCAGCAACATCAAGGTACAAAAGACACACACACAACACCTCTCGTCTAATGCCATCTCATCTCTCTCGTCCGTCAGTGTCGCGCAAGCGTGGTCGTGCGGCGGTGGACGACGACAAGTCGTCGCACAGTGAGAACGGCGCCGACGACAAGAAGGGACGGCAGTCGATCAGAAGCCCCGGCCACGGACTCTCGTAACCACACCACACCACACACGGATGGATGGATGTCCCTGTATGTGTCTCTGTGTGTGTGTGTGTGTGTGTGTGTCAGGAAACGGCCGTGCCGCACACTGCCGATGCTCAAGTGACAGACAGACAGGCAGACAGACAGACAGACTGACTGACAGGCAGACAGTCATGCGTGGCGTGTGTGTGGCGTGAGAGACAGTTTTGTTGATGCTATCGCAGCGCAGACACAGACGACAGACAGACAGACGAGTGGAGGATGAACTCGGGACGCCTGCTCATTCAAACACGATGAGATTTGGTTCAAAATGTGTCCGAAACTGAAAGACGTCACCACACAGGACAAACAGACCGGAGACAGACAGGCAGACAGACACAGAGAGACGGTTGGCTGAAATCGGTGTCTGTCTGTCTGCCAAATCGCCGAGAGTGTGTGTGTGTGTGAGTGTGTGTGTCTTGGGTCGGTTAGCTGACTGCATATTGTCGCGAGCGGTGCCTTTCGGCGAGCAGTTTGTTATTGTCTCTGGGGTGGTTGAAGGTCCACATCCTCAACGTGCGTCGTGCTCCACGTGCGCGCCGATTGGGTGTGCGACTAATTCGTTTTCTGCTTTCGTGCGGTGTAATTAAGTGCTTGTGCAGAATACTGACGCTGCATCGATCACCGGTGTTCAATGAGTGCTCTCATCCACGTGTGTGTCGCCCCCCGCGTGTGCGTCCACCCACAAAGACCCCATGCAGAAGTCCCTCAAATCCCCCCCCAGTTGCATCCATGCAGTGCACGTGCTCATTCCATCTCCGCATGGCCGTCACCCATCATTCGTCGAGTTTATAAGTGGTAGGGTTTGATAGTGGACAAACAAAGATGAGATTGCTGTGTAAGTGGGGAATATTCATCTTGAATGCACTTGTCTTTTTTCACGTGGGTGTGTTGGTGTTGCGGTGTGGTCTCCATCCACACTGTCTGTGTGGCTGTCTCATTGCAGGGCTGGCCCAGGCATTACACGGAACCTGCGTTGACAAAGGCTTGCCCAGACGTAGGTCTAAAACGACAGCCTGCCTCTCGACTGGCTTCTGCCGACTGGACAGATCAAAAAGAATACGACATAGATACCTCCCCTTCATCTATCATCTATCCGCTATCAACAAGAGAAAACAAGTACGGTCTTCTGAAGAACTTTCTCTCACTGTCGGTCCGCCAGCGGGCTCTGCAGCGAGCATGCATTGTCGACGGGGCACATGGACACGATGCTGAGACCCGCACATCTCAAGGCTTCCCTGACATCGTCTATTGTCGCCTGCGATGGTTCAGGTGTCCGGGAGTATACCACACCGCCATCGTACCCGCACCAGGCGTCGTTGCATCCCATGTAGTACACAATGAAATACCTGATCGATCGATACACACATTGTTCACGCATGGAGGTGAATTTGTTCTTTCTTGCGGCCCACCTTTCAGGGTCGGCAGACAGAATGTACCAATCGTCGGATTGGTGTAGGTAGGTCGGGTCGTGGCTACGAAGCACTCCCGGAGAGCTCCTATGGGGAAAGAAGACCTGCTCCACATGGCGGGTGAAAAATGGCTGTTTGTCACCACCCTGAATGAATCACACACGAAGGCAAAGACATACAGCACTGTGACCGACTGTTCTGTGTGTATGGTGCAGCGCTTCTTACATGGGGCACTGGTACCCGATAGGAGATATCGAATCTCACCCCATTGGCCGCCGTCCAAGCGCCATTCTTCCATCTCATTATCGGATGAGGAGCGCCATCATCCGAACGGACCGCCTCTGAAGTCTTGCCCTGACACACACACACACCACACACACACGTGTGTGGCACACCGGATGTGTAAGCAAGGGATGTCGGCACATCGTAACACTGCATCCCCTATCTAATGAGGGCGATCCAGCTGACTCAGCGCCGATAAGCTAAAACCATCAAGGCAAGACGCCACGGATGGTCTCGGCAATTCGTGTCAGCACTGAGGTGAGTCGGTCAGGCACTCACAGCTCGACCAACAAGGAAGCAGTGCTCTCCCTGTCTACACGTTTGTCTGTCCTGTCTCTCTGTACTCACAGCTGGATATGTACGGTACGTAGGTATAGATGTATAAATGTCTTACCGGTGCGCTTTTGACGACTGAAGCAGTGTGGTGCTGACAAGGGAAGCAGTCAAACACGGGGTTCAATCCATAGACAACCCACCACTCTCCCTGACAACCAGCAGAAAACCATGAAAGAAGAACTTCTTCCTCCCTTGTTCCTTCCGTCGTCCCACCTGCAGAGCGGCAGGCTCCAGTGCGGCGACGACAGGAATCCTCCTGTCGACCTCAGAAGCGCCAGGCAGCTGCCTGGCCACCTGCTCGCTCTTGCCCTGGTCATCCCGGACGCGCCCCTCCGCGGCATGTCTGTCGATCCTCTGAGGGATGACCTGGTGCTCGCTTATCGCGCATATGTGGAACTCCTTTAGCACGTCCTCTTCGTACAAGTCGCCACATCTCATCTGGCACGCGATGTCGTCCATCCCACACTTCATGAGGCACACAAACTCGTGAAGACCCCGCCGGTCACTCATCGCCCGAAGCAAAGGACCACCGCATTTAGTCAGCAGGCCTGAATAACACAAGGCATAACAGCAATTCGTATGTGCAACAGCATCCGGATGTGCTGATACCATAGTAGTCGACGGAGCTCCTTGTCGACAGTGAGAAGACGCTCTGGCGTTTTCTTATCAGCGTATCATCCGGCGCCATGGCGCTTCTGCTGAGCCCATCCATCATAGCCTCTCTCTGCGCCGCATCGTAAGGTCTGCCGATCACATACAAAGACACCACGATCCCCAGCACAGCTACCCCAGCAAGAAGTCGCCTCCACAAGAGCGGAATGGGGCCCTCCCTTCTTCTTTGCCCTCCTTCTCCAGCACCCTTTTGCTTCCTTGGAGGCTTGGAAAGCCCGCGCTGGTGGTCACCATGACGCTGATCGGCAGATTGATCCAAGGGAGCATGAAGGGAAGCCCGGTCCTCTGTTCTTCTGGCTGAGTGGCGGACGGAAGGTCGGGGTGCTGCGAGAGGCTTGATGAACATCGGAGGACGGAAGGTGGCGGACGCAGCAAAGATGCCGCCTCGGACGAGTGTCATGACGGCATCGGCACACGCCAGGCCGATGATCTTGGTCTCACCAGGCCATGGTCAGCATCTGACAGGAGGACGGGCAGCATCAGGCATGCCTCCTGCGAGCTCACATGCATGCAGATGGGGGCGAGTCTTAGGCGTCTCAAAGAGGCAAGGACGAATGCATCGTGCAGCTCATCTCTCGGCAATTTGGTAGAATGAAGAGGGGTGTCTGCAGTGCAAGGCGCAACACTGAGGTCGTGGCATTACGACACCAGATACAGGAGCTGCAGAAGGATAACAGGGACAAGTCAACGCAGATTGCTGGCTTGGTCGCCTCCGCTGGTGGGCAAATATGCAAAGAGGATACACACGAATCACCTCAATGACGTGCACGAATCACCTCATGTGGTGTGGTGCTGCGGGACAATCAAATAAAATCCATGCAGGGCGCATGAGGGCGGAGAACTCCTCCGACGTTCTCAATCTCAGGAGCCTCCTGAAGGAGTCCCAGAGACACAACGATGCCTCTCTGCGGAGCATGAGGATGGCTGAAAACAAAAGGGAGTCGCTGAAGCGAATTCTTGAGGAGGAGATCGCCGCCTCGAGGCTGAAGGTAATTTCGTCGATGAACACATGTGATTCGCTGCGTGCCACATCCATTCACTCCTTGTCTCAATGCATTCATGTGTGCAGGTATGCTCGCTGGAGACGGAGCTGGCCAAGGTCGTTGCCGAGAGGGACGATGCGCTGTGCCACATCCAAAGGTTCTTCATAGGGGAAAATGTGTGGGTGCTTGGCGCGGCAGGGGTTTTCGGTTGGAGGTTGTGTCTGAACTCCTTGCAGGTTGAACGAAACCGTCCGTGCACTCCAGACGGCATATGACGAGCTATGCGGAAGGTTCCGCGCGATGAAAGAGGACCGATCCGCCCTCGTACGCATCCAAACACAACACTCGCATGTCTCCTTGTGATGCTGCTACTTGAACAGTACGAGGAGTTGAAATGCCCCTCCCGCCCATCCACTAGCTCTGTCAGCAACGTCTCTCGCTCTCTTCGGCACGCCACACAGAGTGTCCCCAAGCCGACCTCACTTTTGCAGCGCATCCGAGGACATCACACCAATCCCGCCTCGCCCACGCCTCCAACTCCCACCTCATGCAAGCCAGTGATCCGCAGCGGCCGCGGGGCACTGGATGACATGCCCACTGTGGACACAGAGGCGCCTCATGAGGAGGAAACAGACGACCTGGAGGGAGATAATGCCACCAACGCGATTAAAAGCAGCTACGAGTCGCCATCTGCCAAGACTCCGGGCTGCTTTGCTATCTCGTCTCTCAAGGCGCGAGTGCAGCTGAGCGGGAGATCGTGTCGGAGCAAACAGGAGAGGGCCTACACGCATCACCAGCAGCGTGACCGGCAGGAACGTCGTTCAGGCCCCGAAAACGTCATCAAATCCACAGAAGGTCGTCCTCAAAATGCGCCCTCATCGCTGGCTGCGGACGCCCGCTCACTCGCAGCATCGAAGACGTTCCAACAAACAGACACCGCCCTTCAGCAGCGTCTCACAGCGACGTTTTTGGCGTCTCAAGGCACCACGCTTCCATCACTTGCTGCTTTGGTGGCAGACCCAATGCCCAAGAAGGCCGAGCAGAAGCCGCCGTCAAGTCGCCGACTGCCGCCAGGAGTTGGCAGAATCGACGACACGCCCTCACCGGAGGTGCAGCCGTCGGCAAAGGCGCCAGGCGATGCTTGGCCGGGCACAGCCAATGAGACAGGAGTTCTCCCGCCTCCCCGTCACCATGCACCGTCGACTGGTGTTGGTGTTGGGAGTGTTGGGGGTGGCTGGGGGGCAGACTTTCTGAGCCCTCTCCACAGC